GCTGCAGCATACGGGGCGCCTGGCAAACCTACGGATAGCGTTCCGATACCTCAGTAAGGATTCGTTTAAGACTCTGTACACCATCTAACGTCAGGCCCATACTGGAGTATGCAGCACCAGTTTGGAATCCACACCTAGTCAAGCACGTCAAGAAATTAAGAGAAAGTGCAAAGGTTTGCACAAGACTAGTCCCAGAGCTACGGGGATTGTCCTATGAAGAAAGGTTGAGGGAAACCCGGCCTGACGACACGGGAGGCCAGGAGGGTCAGGGGAGACATGATAACGACATATAAAATACTGCGCGGAATAGACGAGGTGGACAAAGACGGGATGTTCCAGAGATGGGACACAGACACAAGAGGTCACAATTGGGAAATTGAAGACTCAGATGAATCAAAGGGATGTTAGGAAGTATTTCTTCAGTCATAGAGTAGTCAGGCCATGGAATAGCCTAGAAAGTGATGTGGTGGAGGCAGGAACCATACATAGTTTTAAGGCGAGGTATGATAGAGCTCATGGGGCAGGGAGAGAGAGGACCTAGTAGCAATCAGCGAAGAGGCGGGGGCAGGAGCTGTGACTCGACCCCTGCAACCACAAATAGGTGAGTACAAATAGGTGAGTACACACACATGACATGGTGACAGCAGTAAGACAAGAGAGAGAGGGGTGGGTGGATTGCATATTCTTGGACTGCAAGAAGGCGTTTGACACAGTTCCACACAAGAGATTGGTGCAAAAACTGGAGGACCAAGCAGGGATAACAGGGAAGGCACTACAATGGATCAGGGAATACTTGTCAGCAAGACAGCAGCGAGTCATGGTACGTGGCGAGGTGTCAACCAAATAACTGCTGCAGCATATGGGCGCCTAGCAAACCTCAGAACAGCATTCCGACATCTTAATAAGGAATCATTCAGGACCCTGTACAGCGTGTACGTTAGGCCCCATATTGGAGTATGCGGCACCAGTTTGGAACCCACACCTAGCCAAGCACGTGAAGAAACTAGAGAAAGTGCAAAGGTTTGCAACAAGACTAGTCCCAGAGCTAAGAGGTATGTCCTACGAGGAGAGGTTAAGGGAAATCAACCTGACGACACTGGGGGACAGGAGAGATAGGGGGACATGATAACGACATACAAAATACTGAAGGAATTGACAAGGTGGACAAAGACAGGATGTTCCAGAGTTTGGACACAGTAACAAGGGGACACAGTTTGGAAGTTGAAGACACAGTAAATCACAGGGATGTTAGGAAGTATTTCTTCAGCCACAGAGTAGTCAGTAGTGGAATAGTTTGCGAAGCGATGTAGTGGAGACAGGATCCATACATAGTTTTTAAGCAGAGGTATGATAAAGCTCAAGGCTCAGGGAGAGTGACCTAGTAGCGATCAGTGAAGGGGGCGGGGCCAGGAGCTCGGGCTCGACCCCGCACCCCAACTAGGTGAGTACATACACCCCACACACACACACACACACACCACACATACATAACACACACACACACACACATACATACACACTACACAAAACACATACACACACACACACACAAAACACACACAACCACACATTTCACACACACCCAAACGCACACACACACACACACATACACATACACACACACACACACACACATACACACACACACACAACATACACACACACACACATGGAGAAGATTATCAGGAGAAGAGTGGGGGAACACCTAGAAAGGAACGATCTCATCAACAGCAGCCAACATGGTTTCAGGGGCGGTAAATTTTGTGTCCACAACCTACTGGAGTTCTATGACATGGTGACAGCAGTAAGACAAGAGAGAGAGGGGTGGGTGGATTGCATTTTCTTGGACTGCAAGAAGGCGTTTGACACAGTTCCACACAGGATTGGTGCAAAACTGGGGACCAAGCAGGGATAACAGGGAAGGCACTACAATGGATCAGGGAATACTTGTCAGGAAGACAGCAGCGAGTCATGGTACGTGGCGAGGTGTCAGAGTGGGCACCTGTGACCAGCGGGGTCCCGCAGGGGTCAGTCCTAGGACCAGTGCTGTTTCTGGTATTTGTGAACGACATGACGGAAGGAATAGCCTCTGAGGTGTCCCTGTTTGCAGATGACGTGAAGTTGATGAGAAGAATTCACTCTATCGAAGACCAGGCAGAACTACAAAGGGATCTGGACAGGCTGCAGACCTGGTCCAGCAATTGGCTCCTGGAGTTCAATCCCACCAAGTGCAAAGTCATGAAGATTGGGGAAGGGCAAAGAAGCCGCAGACGGAGTACAGTCTAGGGGGCAGAGACTACAAACCTCACTCAAGGAAAAAGATCTTGGGGTGAGTATAACACCAGGCACATCTCCTGAAGCGCACATCAACCAAATAACTGCTGCAGCATATGGGCGCCTAGCAAACCTCAGAACAGCATTCCGACTTCTTAATAAGGAATCATTCATGGACCCTGTACAGCGTGTACGTTAGGCCCATATTGGAGTATGCGGCACCAGTTTTGGAACCCACACCTAGCCAAGCACGTGAAAGAAACTAGAGAAAGTGCAAAGGTTTGCAACAAGACTAGTCCCAGAGCTAAGAGGTATGTCCTACGAGGAGAGGTTAAGGGAAATCAACCTGACGACACTAGAGGACAGGAGAGTTAGGGGGACATGATAACGACATACAAAATACTGAGAGGAATTGACAAGGTGGACAAAACAGGAGTTCCAGGAGGGGACAACAAACAAGAGCACAATTGAATAAGACAACAAATATCAGAGATAGAGAAATTTCTTCAGTCCATAGAGTCTGTAAGGCAGGAATAGCCCCAGAAAATGACGTAGGAGGCAGAACCATACACAGTTTAAACACAGTTAAACACCTATAGCAGGAAAGAGGCCTAGTCCAACACGTGAAGAGCGGAGGCCAGGCACAACTCACCCCTGCAACCACAAATAGGGAGTACAAATAGGTGAGTACACACACACACACACACAAACCTGAGCCACTTGGGGGACGAGAAACGTGGAATACTAAGATGCTTGAGGTAACAGTAGAATTTTCTTGCAGCAACCAGAGAGAGAGAGAGGAGAGGATGAACCAGCAAGGCTGGACCTTGTACTCGCCTAGAGTTGCTCAGACATTAAACTATGTCTCAGTTATTGTACAGCCAACAATATTTCTTGCACATACAAACGGATGTATTTCGTTAATATTTTTATGGCACTTCAACTCTTTATATAAAATATGTTAGAATGATTTATCATCTTCATCTTTTTCCCCTGTTCATCTTTGCTGTTTCCCCATTTCCACTGTAATTATATTTAATCAATGTGAAATGATGATTACTCTTAAAATCTATGTTATCAAGCAGCTCAAATCGCTGGTGGCTCAATCCATGTTTTTCATACAAAAACCCATACTGCTATTTCTAGTTTAAAACCCTAACAGCCCATGCCACGGAACTAACCTGAGTCCCTCCACCTGCCCTAGATTACTGACTCCCATCCCTGGCATATATGTCATTTCCCTCATAGAAGCCTCAGTCGTCTATGAAAGGTACTGTTATGTCCTTAGTGTTTGTCCAGCCAGCAATTACACCAGATCCCCTGGACAAATATTCATTTCCCTCTCCTCTGCTCAACAAAAAGCCACATACTACGAGAGATCTACTTTAAAAAGAAGCATTTCCAAAAGAGGTTCGACTTTCGTGTTGGTAGTATTGAAATTAGGAACCTGGCTAATTAATTCTGATTCCCTGAACTTCCTGTGCTGTGTTTATTGCATCTTATCAATACTTGAGTCCCACTAAAAATAACGCTATGTCCTCGAATCTGTATTGTTAAAGCCACTGGATGGCCAAACGTCTACAATAACGATACCCAGATGTTGCACATGTGCCTAAATTTTCACCTTGCTGGTACTGTATACCGTTCATGTACATTTCTGGATAAACACGATGTTTAAAATTATTCGTTCCCAATATATCTCTTGCCACAATTTGTGCAGGGAATCTTATAAATGCCAGAGTACATCTGGGCTTCTTCTGCCAAACCTCCTCTTACGAGTATTTTAATGGTAGTATAACTGTTCAAGATAATGTTAACACCTTTATTAGAGTTATATTTGAAGTTTTCAGTTTATTCAATTGGGAACTACAATTAAATTCTTAGTTTTTTTTTTATAGCCAAGAAATGTGCAGTCTATAAAGTTCTTCTCGCACACAAGCTCAGAAAATGTTTTGTCAATATTTTCAATCTTATGGTCTATGTCCTGGGAATCACAACATTGGTATTCCCTAAGAAAAAAAATCGAAATAACACATCTTTTAAAGTAAAAGCATGTAGTTTTTATGTAAACATTAAAAAATAGGCGCATTTTTGGCATTTCCATGTACTTGGGTGCCCCCCTCCCCCCCAAAAAAAAAATTATTATAATCACAAAGGAGCGCTAAACCACAAAGGTTATACACCCCCCCACCAAAAAAAAAGTAGCAGACTGTTTCCTTCACATTTATCTTTAAACTTAATATATCTACTCAAAACAAAATGAAGACAATCTAAGAACTGTGATACATTAGCAGAGGAAGGAAGTAGAGTGAACACATGTACTTAATATAACCAAGTGATCTGTGTCATCACTGCTAGCAATGATTTCACTTTCAAAGTACTCTATGAGAAATATTAGCTAAGAATGGTAAAAAGGTAAACCCATTGATATTCCGTACACGTGCATGTAAAAAGCCCCATTGCATGGGGAATGTCTGGAAAAAACGCAATTCAATAGAAGTTATATAAAGTCTTTTTATGACATCTCGTGTTCTATAAAGTTTTTTTTATCGTCTTAAAGCTCACTATTCGTCCTGTAGTTCCCTGGTCGGACCTGACCAACACAAAAAGTGTCTTGGAAATCAAAAACAAAAGATATTAACCAAGAAAATAATAGTAAAACTGACTAGAACACTTAATCCCTTGAATACAACAGCTTATGTGACGTGATTCATACAGGTCTCCCAGTGAATGATCAACAGCATCACTACAAGAGGTCAAGATGCTGATCAACGTGTTGACTCTGACAGCTGTTGCTGTGGGAGTGGGAACTCCCATATGCACTGCCACTCACGGTAAGTCTTGTTTCATTCTTTCACAATGATTTTATACACATTTTCTGAATTGTTAATATAGGAAAGTGCTAATTCATGAACATCTAAGCATTTAATTAATAACATTGTTACGCTTAGTCAATTTCAACATTACTTTGAGCCGGTATCACTTAATATCATACTGCGACCTTCCTTATTAGTAGCTAAAATAAGCAAGTCCGACTATATAAATTATCTGGGGCCTCATATAAAGTTACCAAATGGAATCATGTTTAAATAACGTATGTAGTAAAAATATTTAATATATAGTTAGGTGTAACAGTGTGAGTTGAAAAGCACTATGTAACACAGTCTGGTTAACCCAAGCTGCTTTAGTGTGTACATAATAAGTTTATCAGTATCCAAATACAGTACATAGATTATCATACATACAAACATATGTGTAGAGAATGGGATAACCCAAAAAAGTCAGACAGAGTGATTTTTTCCCATGGGTCCTTTCCCCTTATATTAAATATAAGGGTATATTTTCTCAATTATCTTAATAAGATAACATCTTATTATCTATAAAAAGACTATCTACCCCACGAGGGTCATAAAGACTATCTACTACACGAGGGTCTTAAGACTATCTACTACACGAGGGTCATTAAGCCTATTACTACACGAGGGTCATTAAGACTAATACTAACGAGGTAAATTAAGACTATCTACTACACGAGGTCATTAAGATTTATCTACTACACGAGGGTCGTTAGACTATCTACAATAGAGGGTTATTACTAGGAATAAGGTAAAATTTACACGTATGTTAGCTAAAAAATAGAAAATCATTCCCCTCCCTTTCTGTAGCTACATTCATCAGACACCTTTTGGCACTCTTCTTGAACTGGTTCATGCTATGACTGGCTTTTACATGTGCGGGTAGTCTGTTCCATTCATTTATTGCTGTACAATAAAAGGTGTTTGAAGCCTGGCCAATGACTGTGGGTACTACAAAGTTGTGCTCTCTCCCCCTAGTACTATGATTGCTTTGGTTCCCAACCTTGACAAAATTGACAGCAAGATATTCTGGACACTGTTCGTGAGCAATTTTATAAACATGATTTAGCTTCAGTTGTTTTACTCTGTCTTCAACATTCAGCATATCCAACTGCTGTAATTCATCCTGGCCTACATGTTCTCTTGGTCCCAGCCCCAAGATGAATCTTTTGATTTTTTTCTGGGTGATTTGCAAACTATCTTTCAGTTTTTTTTGTCAAGGCAGAGTACCATGAAGAGCAAGCGTAATCCATATGACATTGTATAAGGGCTAGACATAGGGTCCTGCGAGCCTCAGTAGGTAGACACTGTGCTTGTCTATAGAGGAACTTCAGTTTGGCATTCGCTTTCTTTACTACACTGTTCCCTATCAATTCTCCTGACATGCATGGGTCAAAGGGGATTCCCAGATATTTTACTGATGGAACCAAAGTGATGGGCTCCCCATTACACTGGACATTAAAATTATTTACCCTTCTCAGTTTATGTTTCGTGCCAAAGAGAATGGCTTCAGTTTTCCGAGGTGTAATGATAGTTTATTGTCTACTAACCATTTGCTGCAGGACTCCAGTTCCAGTGTTAAAACATTAGCTATATCTTGTGGGTCTTTACCTGACACTAACAGAGCACTGTCATCTGCATACAGTAGGAGTTTGCACTTGCCACTGATAGGCATGTCATTGACATAACATAAGAATAATAAGGGACCCAGAATACTACCTTGGGGAACTCCACATGCTATCGGCAGGGGTTCTGATTCCGTTTTGTTGATTTTAACAATTTGTCTCCTGTTGCTAAGGTAGGACTTAAACCAGTCTACAGAACCTATACCGATAGCTTGAAGTTTCTTACATAATATATTGTGGTTGACAGGATCGAAGGCTTTTTGCAGGTCTAAGGTTACCATACATATGAGGTTCCCCTTTGACATTTCAGTTCTCAGGTAATCCATCAGACTAATTAGGGAGGTGTAGGTTGAGTAAGATCTTCTAAAGCCCGAATAATAGCTATGGAGAATGTTGTTGTCATTAATGTACTTAACTACTTGAGAGTACACCGCCCTCTCTAGAATTTTGGATATTATACTGAGTATACTAACAGGCCTATAGTTGCATACATCAGACCTACTATTTTTCTTGAAGATAGGAGTAACTCTGGCCTCCTTGAACCGCTCCGGTACGGTATTAGTGGTGATTGATAGATTTATTATGTGAGCAATAGGGACTGACAGTTCAGAAGCACCATCTTTTAGGAACTTAGACGGGATGTTATCCGGGCCAGTGCTCTTAGTTGGGTTTAACCAGCTTAGTTCTTTTTGAATAAAGTCATGAGATACACTTACTAGTTGACAACTGTTCGGGGTTACCCCTTTATTGGTATAGTATCTTTGAAACTTATCAGAGTCTGTGTTAAAGGTATTTAATGCAGCTGGTAGTTTACTTACTAGTGTTGATGCAACAGATGTGTAGTAGGAATTAATGTAATCTGCCACCTTAGATGTTTCGTGGCATACCTCATTATCGATAGTGAGTACTATGTTAGACCTATCTACTGGCTTATGGCTATTCCCCAACAGTTTTAGTTGTTGCCAGAGCTTTCTGGGGTTATGCTTATACTCTTCAATTTTTGTGCAATAGTGCTTTGCCTTTGCTCCTTTTATAAGTCTCTGTACTCTGTTCCTCACCCTTTGGAATTCATTAGTGCTGCAGTATCCTGTCTGTTTGCTTTAAATCGTTTTAGCAGCTGGTCTCTGAATTTCATATTATCTAATATCTCAGTAGTCATCCAGGGTTCAGTTCTTCGTTTAATCCTAACCTCTTTAACTGGTGCAATATTATCAAGGATGGTACTGAATATTGTTTTTAATTTTTCCCAGGCATCGTTTGCGTCCGTGCAACTTGTTATCTCTGTCCAGTCACAATTGTGTAACCTATTTACCAGTGTTTCTTTACTGTAGTTTCTAGTTGACCTCATTTTTATTGTCCTGTGTAGGCCTATCCTATCCCTAGTGATTTTCCTGGTGCAGTAAATGATGAAATGATCACTAAGACCTGCGGTAATGACGCCTGACTGACTAATGTTCTCAAGAGTGGTTACAAAGTATGTGGTCAATTAGGGTGGCTGAGAACTGTGTGATCCGGGTTGGTGTATTAGTTGAGTAACTATTTAAACCTAGAATTTGCTTATACCTTTTGCAAAGCCCGTTATTTTGCTGCTGAAAACAGATATTGAAGTCGCCCAGTATTATTGTCTCACAATTGTTTTCAAGTCCGGACAAGACTCTGGAAAAGTCTTCTAAGAACTAGTCCTGGGTAGGAGGGCGGTAATTAGTTCCTACTAAGATGGGTTTTGTCTTGGGAAGCAGCACTTCAAACCATAGAATCTCCAGTTTATTGTTATTTAAATCAGGTCTTGGGTTGTAAGCTAAGTCATTTCTAATGTAGGCAGATACTCCACCACCCTTTCTGTTCCTATCTAAACGTTTTATATTGTAACCTTCTATTTTGACCTCGTCGTCAGTCTATCATCCAACCAGGATTCAGAGATGGTTATAACTGCCGCCCTAATTTTGTTAGCTAGAATCTTAATCTCTGCCAATTTAGGAAGAAGTGATCTTGCGTTGACATGAATAAAGTGAAGGCCTGTTTTCATAAAACAATTATAATCATCAATATTTGGCTATGGGTCATTTGTATTAAAATTAGGTAAATCAATGTCATCATTGCTAAAGGGTACCTGTGCCAAAGTGCATTTGTTACACACAAAATGAATTCTGGCACCGTTACTATAATTGTACATACATCCATCATGCACCCACCCCTTACACATTTTACATGAGGTGCCTTTTACTGTCCAGGGCGCTGTTACTCCATTCGTCTTTTCCAGCCCCCATGACCGATTTCTTTCTTCATGGAACTGAAGAAGAAAGATAAATATAATTATGGCAGCCTGTACCCCCCTAATGCCTGCCATTTTCACTCTTCGCTCTTTTACTCATATACAGTAATATTTATTTCTCTTTTCCAGTCATCTAGTACACCCTAGTATCTGCTTTAGCAATCACCACTGAATTACTAGTAAATTTTCTTCTTCAAAACCCTCTTCACTACTCACTTTTCCCTTAACTTCACACACCCCTTTCAGTTAACCCCTTATTACACACTCCCCTTCCCGCCTCACTTCACAGTCCGGCTTCACCTATTAACTTCTAACTCCTTTCCATTCTGGTAGACGAGAAAGATTTAATCAATGGTTTTATCCTTCCAAATCCCCCTCAATTTCATTTATCGGGGGTTGTGTCGTGTTGTTGACTGCCTGACCTGGTCTGCTGACTCAGCCATTTTTAAAACACTGAGGGAAGTAAACGCCACCTACAACCTGACTTTCCTTGAGTTTATAGATATATTTGGCGTTTTCTGCTATGATTCTCTCACTGTACATTGGTCAGCTGAATATAGGTCAGCTACTAAAACATTAACCTTGACTGTTTAACTATTCACTTCTTTCCCACGACTGTCACTGAGGGATAACCCTCCTATAACCTTGGAGTTTTGTATTGTTGATTTGACGATGTCTCCTGTGTTTTCCTCTCGTTAGCCCTGGTACAGGTGATATGATGGTGGTACAGATATGATGCTACTGTCAGTACAGATGAACGTCAGTAAAGATGAGAATTTCACTTCGCTAGTTGTACGTCTGGCAGTAGCGGCTGTTTGGATGCCGGTCAGCCATGTTTAAATGCTCAATTCTTTCCCTCGTTTGGCACTGAAGAAAAAAGTCCTACAGACCTGTCATTTCCTTGGAGATTTAGTTGATCAGGTTTTCTGCCATGTTGTCTTCCCGTTAAACACTGGTGCAGTTGATATGGAGGTCAGTTATTTCATTGTAGTGGAAAACGTCTCATGTCTGGTTCACGTCTGGCAGCAGGTCTGGTACTTGAATGCCGGTCCCTCTTTTGTCATATTTAGTCCATTTCGTTG